GTGGTGTGAGTGTGAGAAGCTGGGAGCAAGAGGTGCAAGGAGCTGAGAGGGTGTGCTGCTGGAGGACTGAGGAGCACAAGTGTTATCAGACACCAGGAGGAAGGTCTTGTGGTGAGAATAAGGAAGGTGTTTGGAGGAGGCCATGGGGAAGTAGCCCAGGGAGTTGTAGCTGTCATGCAGCTGTTACAGGAGGCACTATAGACAGCTGCAGTCCACAGGGCCCTGGGCTGGAACCCAGAGTAGAGGGTGGGCCCGGGTTCCCCCCAAACCTCCCAATTGACCTGGACTGTGGGTTCTTCCAGAGGGGAAGGTCTCTGGGCTGTTCCCCAACCCACATGGTGAAACTCTGAGGCAAGAAAATCCGCCAATAAACGCAGGACCCTCCAAGATAGAGGAGGAACTTTGTCACACTATCCTTCTAGTTAGAATCTTTTCCTCCTATCTAATCTAAATCTCCCTTGCTGCAGATTAAACCCATAACTTCTTCTCCTATCTTAAGTGGACATGCAGAACAACTGATCACTGTGCTTGTTATAATGCTCTTTCATATTTGAAAAATGTTATCAGGTCCTCCCTCAGTCTTCTTTTCACAAGACTAAACATGGCCAGTTTTTTTAACTTTTCCTCATAGGTCAGGTTTTCTAAACAATTTATCATTTCTGTTGCTCTCCTCTGGAGTCTCTCCAATTTGTACACATCTGTCCTAAAATGTGGCACCCAGAACTGGACACAGTTCTCCAGCTGAGACCTCACCAGTGCCAAGTAGAATGGAATAATTACTTCTTGTGTGTTACATACAACACTCCTGTTAATACACCCCAGAAATGATATTACCTTTTTGGCACCTGTATCACATTGTTAGCTCATATTCAATTTGTGATCCACTATAACCCTCAGATCCTTTTCAGCAGTACTACCACCCATTTTGTAGTTGTACATTAGATTTTTCCTTCTTAAGTGTAGTACTTTACATTTGTCTTTACTGAATTTCATCTTATTTCAGACTAGTTCTCCAATTTGTCAAGGTCATTTTTATGTTTCTAAGTCACTTGGGCACTATTGAAAATCCCACCCTGTGGTGCCTAACTGTGGGTACCTAGGTCTGAAAATTTTGGCTTACGCTTCTTAGGACTGGGAGCACATCTTTCTCTATTGCATGCACTTTGCCAGATGCATTACTGGGGATCAACAGGTGATAATTGCTTATTTTCTGTTTTCAGCTTGAATTAAAAAAAACATTTTGTTCTAATTGTGCAACCGAATATAGAAATCCCCCCCCCCCTTTTCTGAATACATGAAATGCCACACAGTTTCACTTTTTCATACTGAATGCTTGTTGTTTTTCCTACTTGTTTCCTCCATTGCGCAGAGAGGATGGAGTATACTAGTATTTTGAAATAGAAAAGCAATTCTTACCCTTGCGATGATGTGTGGATCATTGCACTTGGCCAGTTTCCCAGCAAAAAGCTGAACTCCAAAGCTTGCAAAAACAAGCATTAATGTCAGCAAAAGAATGGACACCTGTGAAAGTGATGTAAATATAGTCAAACTTTTCTCCTACAGACTAGACGTGAAGGGCTAGATCCTCTGGTGCAGTCCAAGAATGAGCCTTTGGTGGCATAACGCTGACCTGGAGGATTTTATGACAGGAACAATCCCTGCTCCATTGAATTTTTAGCCAGTGCACTTCCAACTTTGGCTGCACTGGGAGGTCTAGCTCCAAACTTTTAAACATGGGGCTCTCCCTAAACTTCTTTGTGTTATGAATTATAACTTATGCATTATGTGTTATGAATAACAATGCATCATTTTATAATAATGTCTCAATTGAAACTAATAAAAGTATTTTTTTAAGTTTTAAAACTTTTGTTACCATATCTTTTTGGTGATGCCATTTCAGCAACTTGAAATATCATTGCATTCCATACTAATTTTGGCTTTTTAATCAGACAAGCACCTGGTTATTTTTCTTTGTAGATTTTCCTATGAAGCTTATGCTATTGGCCTTTAGTGTAGGCCCTGACCCAGCAATCACTGACGCTCTTCTTATTGTTTGTATTATGGTAGCACCTCAAAGCACTACTCAGGGACCAGGACCTCACGGCAGTAGGTGCTGTACAAACTTTAAGCACGGGAAGACTCCTATTAACTTCAATGGGACTTCTCAGGTGCTAAAAGCTAAACACATGCTTAAGTGCTTTGCTAGATCAGGCCTTATTCATTAACATGTGCTGCCTCTGCTGGCTGTCTGGCTCTGTAACACTAGAGCAGCTACCTGCAAGAGTCAGACATAAATGAATTAAAATGTTTACATCATAACAGGTTGTAACAGATATAAAGTAAGTTAAACACTGGCCTTAAACTAATGACCCTTGCCCCTTTATTAAAAGACTAGTTTGTGTATTATAACCAAACAATATACATGAATACATAACACAGTATATAATAAATATATAAGATATATCGTTACTCTCCATCTTGTTTTAGCACAGGAACAAAATAACTGGCACATACCAAGAAGATTTCCTTGAAGCCACTAAACAGCTCTCGTACAACTTTCCTCATTTGCGGCACCAGTTTGAAAATGCGAAGGGGTCGGAGACATCGTAGTATCATTAAGAGCTGAGCTCCAGATTTAGCAGGAACGTTCTGAGGCATCCAGCAAAGGAATATCAAACTTACCTGGGAGGGGGTGGGGATGGAGAAAGAATGAGCAATCCACATTACAAAATATTATTTGACAAATTATGATAAAACAGAACATCAATCCAAACGTGTACGTATTCCTTAAAAGATTATAATTGTCCCTTTTTGGGTGTGCTTGTGGGAAAAGAAGGCATAGGGGGCTAGATTTTTAAACGTATTTAAGTGCCTAAAGATGCACATAGGCGCCTAGATGGATTTCGGTGAGGGAGTCCCTAGTGGGAGTTAGGCATCTAGGCACTTTTGAAAATTCCACTAGGTACCTATCTGCATCTTTAGGAGCATATATATCATTAAAAACCTGAGCTAAAGAGCCTTGCTCAGGGGCACAATGTAATTCCTGCATTTTTCTGAACACGAGGATTATTCAAGTGTAAGGTAACTACTGGCACTAGCTTCTTCAAAGTGAGTGCCATACACACGTATACAAACATATACATATATTATACAGTTATATATACAGAGATAAACAGACAGAGAAAGGTCATGCTTTATATTCAGGGAACAGGCATATCTAGTTTATATAGTGTTAAAAATGATTAATAGATATTATAACCATGGTATAGACATGAATAGCATGTATCATAGACGGTTATGCCATGTCTACAGAAGGTGCTATAGATGGTTATAAATAAGGCTAAAATTTTGTCACGGTTATTTTTAGTAAAAGTCACAGACAGATCACTGGCAACAAACAACAATTTACAGAGCCCATGACCCGTGCATGACTTTTACTAAAAATAACCGTACAAGCTGCGGGGCAGAGGTGCACAGCCCCGGTTGCAGCCCCCTGGGGAAGTCACAGGACAGGGGCACACGGCCCAGGCTACAGCCCCCTAGGCAGGGCAGGGGCGCATGGCCCCAGTTGGAGCTCCTGGTGAAAGCCCCGGGGTAGGGGCGCACAGCCCCGGCTGCAGCCCGACGCAGGGCAGGGATAGTTGCAGCCCCTGACGCGGGCAGGGGTGCATGGCCCTGGTTGCAGCCGCCAGTGGAAGCCGCGAGGCAGGGGCACATGGCCCCAGCTGTAGCCCCCACCACAGGGCAGGGGAGCATAGTCCTGGCTCCAGCCCCAGCCGCAGCCTCGGCTCCAGCCCCAGCTTCAGCTGTTGACAGCTGAACTCCAAGAAGTCACGGAGGTCTGGTAAAGTCACGGAATCCGTGACTGCCATGACTAAATCGTAGCCTTAGTTATGAACCATGTTTATAAACAACGTATTATCTGCTGGACTCTATAACAATTTATAACAACTGATTAGCTATTTATTAAAATGTCAGTTAAGCATTTCTTAACTCTTTATAGAATATTTTATATATACTTTTTCCCACTCCATGCTCTGAGGTGTCCCTAAACCCCTGACTGCCAGAAGCTGGGACTGGACGATTGGGTGACCACATGTCCCGATTTTATAGGGACAGTCCTGATGTTCGGGGCTTTGTCCTATATAGGTATTTATTACCCCACACCCCTTGTTCCAATTTTTCACACTGACTATCTGGTCACCCTACTGGATGGCAGGGGATGGATCACTTGATAATAGCCTTGTTCTGCTCATTCCCTCTGAAGCATCTGGCACTGGCCACTGTCAGAAGACAGGATACTGGGCTAGATGGATCATTGGTCTGACCCAGTATCGTTGTTCTTAAGTTCTATATTCTTATTTATAAATGTATCCTTAATATAAAGTGAGACTTAGACAGGGGGATTACTTAGTTGTAGATGCACAAGGAATGCAGGACCCAGCTGATTATTGCCAATATGATTAAAAGCAACAAAAAAAAATACTTGTGATTTTTAAAAAACTAAATCAAAAACAACAAAGAACCAGTCTAGCAAAACAAAACGGATAAGCAGATGTTACTGAATTTCTGTGGTATCCTCTCAATATTCTAGGAATGTTTACAAGACCTAGATAAAACATGATTTTCCTCCAAACACACAAACAAAAAGAGGAATTTTGACAAACCAATGCTATTAGAAACTCGGAGTACAGATTGATCATGACAAATTATATGCAGCACATCTGGGATACAGACTAATCTCTCCAAGAGTTAATCAAACCCATCAAATTCATTTCATTTAGCAGCTCAGTTCAGACTGAAAAACCATTTTATATTGTACTGTATTAGTCACTGATTTCATTGTTTGTTTTTTGGGTATAATCTCTTATTATTAATATTTATTACTCATCTATTGCCATTGGCGGGCATAGTGTTTTACAAAAAAAGGAAGGTAGAATTTAGAGCTGTTAAGAAAATAGTATTTCCATTGCATGAGAATGCTCACATTTTGCAATTTGTTTTTCTTCTGAACCTAAACAAGAAACTGGAAATTTGAAACTTCCTGTAGAACAAACATTGTGATTTGGGACTATCAAAATGCGTTGCTTCAATAAGGTAAAAATGTTTCATTTTGATGTCGTCAAAACATTATAGTATTATATAAGATTTTAAATACAATGTATATGTAAATATATATTAAAGATATTTTAAGTTAATGTAAAAGTCAAAGCTAAAAGAATCAAATCAATACAGTTGAAATGAAACATTTTAGCTTATTGAAATGAAACATTTTGAAAAACAAAAGGAAAAAGTCAAAATGATTCATTTCAACTTTTTCCCACTGAAAATTTAGTTAAAATCAACATATTCCTGCAAAAAGCTTCAATTTCAACACAACTGCCTTTTCTATTGAAGTGTTTTTGACCAGAGCTACTATAAGCAACCAGGTCTGATTCAAGCCTAACATCCGTCATCTGGTAATGCCCTCTCTACAGAGGGGAACTGGGGGATGAGGTGGGAAGGCAAGGAATGAATGGTGAAGAGCCAGCTACACCAGCGGATTCCCCTGCATAAAAGGGATAGAGCAGGGTCCAGGATCTAGGATCTGGATCTAAAGATGGAAGGAAAGCAGGTCAGATGCATAAGATAAATAAATATATACACAGAGAGAAATTACTATGCAATGGGAAACCTACATGAATTTACCACAATTTGGGATGCAAGTCAATATTCAGATACCTAAGTACACAACTGCAGTTGTCAAGTTTGCATGTGAAACTGTGGTGACTGTGCTCAAATTACCCTCACAGTTCTGCATGATTTCATTTTTAAAAAACTGTCCCCAAAGGTTTAATAAATACATATTCAGAAAGATGAAAATTAAAAATGTTACAAAAAAGTATTTAACTATCAAAACTTACAAGATATATAAATATATCCATGACTCCTCCAAAGTCCCTTATGACAGCTGTTGGTGTAAAAAACAAGCCATCTGCCATAATCTTCAGATTAAGCTCAATGCTCATGAATATTACAAAAACATATTCAGCAATCTGAAAATCAAAGCAGACATAAATCATAATTTAGTAATAAGCAGTGGAGAAAAATAAGATGGTTGTGCTTTATTAAATGTGAGATAATTCAGTAATGTTACCTGGAGTGTTGGAGCACGCATAACTCTTCTAAAGGGGGATTCAAACATCATAGAAATGCAGGAGCATATTGTAACAATGATCATAACCCAGTCCAGGTAAGTAACCAATCCCAGCAAATCGCTGTCAAAAATATGCAAGGACAATCATTAAAGAGAAACTTAACCAGTGTCATCAAATGTCCATTAAAAATACAGTCTAGCTAAAGTGTTTTCTGTGAAAAGTCAATTAACTCTAGAAGGAGGCATTTGAAAAGTTTCAACATGTCAGAAATGCATAGTAAAACTAGAGAAGTAACAGAACAAACAAAGGTAACAAAACAATTCCCCTCCTCACAAACCCAAACAAACAAACAAACAAACATAAAAAACCAAACATAGAAAAAGAGACATTTTAAGCCAAAAAGTATAATCCACAGTGATATGCAAAACGCAGTCAAACAAATGAAATTACTTTTGCAATGCTTACTAGAGCTGATGGTATTTGGTATTTTTCACAGCTCCGGTAACAGGATCTGTTTTAGAACTATAAATAGGAAATGAGATATTTAAAATTCAGCAATTTAAATTACATTTTAGTGGCCGTTATTATAATTGTAGTGTGCATGCATCACCTCAAAACAATTAACTGTCTAGCTTAATGCCTGACATGCATGACATATTCTATGACTTAATGCTCAAATGCTACTTTTTATAAAAAAGTTGTTTTAAGTTTCACTTACCCAATTTTTGTGACAGGTAATTTTAGTTCAAATTACCAATCAAAACAGTTAGCCATAATTTAATTTATGGCACAGCTCTGAGCAAGATAGCTCTAGACTGGCTTTTAAAAACTTTTAATTTAAAATGTAATTAAGTCTGAGTCCAGCTTCTACAATTAATAGCTTACTTCATTCAGTTTCGATTTTCTGAGCGGAACAACCCCCTGACAAACAACTTCATGTTTCAAAGAGTTTCCCTAAAAGCCCTTTCCTCTTGTATCACAATTCATTGGCGGTCCTCAGCTGGTGTAAAGTGGCTTCACTTTTTTGGTCCAATCTTCTTTAATTACTTAGTTCAATAATTTTCTCATTAATATTCACAGACACACCTCTACCCCGATATAACGTGACCCGATATAACACGAATTCGGATATAACGCGGTAAAGCAGCACTCCGGGGGCGCGGGGCTGCGCACTTCGGTGGATCAAAGCAAGTTCGATATAACACGGTTTCACCTATAATGTGGTAAGATTTTTTGGCTCCCGAGGACAGTGTTATATCGAGGTAGAGGTGTATTTCTCATCTAATTTCCTGACCCTTAAATCCACTGATATAAAAAGCTCCCAAGCCTAACAATCTTCAGCTATAAAACTCAAAATAACCTCTTTTTAAACCCAGGTATGGACAAATTTCTGCTCCCAGTTACGTGGTGTAAATCTGGTTGCCTTCAGTGGCCTCTGCACTGTGAAACTGAGAAGAGAGGAGCACATATACCTACAGAAGAACCCAGTCATAGTGAACTTGGATGTAGGGCAACTCCATTTGTAGTGAAGCAGAACGAAAGCCCCAAATTGTTTCAGGGCTTTTCACTGTGCACAATGAAATTCTGGTTATATGATCCCACTTTGAGAGGTGCTGAGAGGAGTGTAATGGGAATTAAGGTGCTCGGCACCTCTCAGGGCAAGGCCCATCATGAACATCTGCTTATAGTGATATTCTTCTGTTGTGGGGGAAGGTTTCACTTTAAGAGGATTCCATGTAGTAAACATATGCACATTACTTAGGATGAGCAGGCCTGACATCAACACGCATAGGTACCATTCTCTTCTCCACTCCTGTCCCCAATCTGCTCATTGGCTACTGTGACAGGCTGGCTCATTGGGGCTTAAAGATGGCAGCTGAAGCTTCACCCCTTTCTTCTTACCTCGTGCCTGCAGCTTCCTTATCTCATCTTATGATCTTGGACTGTCTTTATGAGCTTATGTCTTTTGGTTTCTTTTTCTCCAGCAATGAGATTATATCACGGCTAGTTTAACTTCTAGCTGCTATGGGCTAGTTGCACATATTTTCCTTTAAAAATAAATAGACTAGCCTGTAAAGGAAGTATTTGGCCAAACTCACTATTGAAAAGTAATACACTCACGCGTTAAAGCGAGCTCGCACAACTACTCGACAAAAGTTCCTGAATCGGTGTTCTCGACCAACTATGAAAAGTGGCTTATCAAAATATGGATGATTCTCTCGCAACTCCTCCTCTTGGACTTTCCTTTTAAAAAAAATACATAATATATTTAATGTTACGCAAAAGACATCCATCAAAAATATCCATTATCATTTTGTTTTTATTTCATTGCAGCTGTTAGATTTCTTTTTTTCCATCATACAATACCAACATTTCAAATTGAAAAGTGCGCTTTCAAACCTTTGGTTTGTAAATACCTTTTCATTTCAGCTTGTTCTTTTTTTTCCTGGATCATCTTGATCTCACTGTCTTCTCTCTGTGCGTTTCTGTATCTCACTGTATTAGAATGCTAGAGGCAAAACAATTACTTAAAATGTGTTTTTTTTCCTTTAAAGATGAAAGCAAGATACAGTATTTTACACTGAAGCATTCAAATTGTAAAGTCCTCACTTCTAAATGCACTATGAATCATGTAAGCCAAGCATACTGGATGGTATGTGCTACAACATATGCTTGGTTACTTTCAGTGAATCAAATTTCGATGTTAATTCCCCTGGTGCAATCCCAATGAATTCAACTTTATTACTTCACTAACTCTTCCTATCTTTATTGAACATCATCGTAGTTGTTAAGGGCAAGATTGCGTTCACATAGGGGAATAGGAGGCATTAGGCTCTTTCTCAGTCTATTGAGCAGGCTGCATGTATTGCTGGTTCAAATACAGGGAGAGAACAGTGTCTATATAACAGGTGTGCAGGGAGTGGGTAGAGGGTGTCAGAACCGTCAGAGCCAGTGGAGATGAGCTGGTTCTAATGGGGAAGCAATCTGGTACCTGCTCAGACTCACAACTGCTTCCTTAGCTTGCAATGGTGCAGCTATGTGCTGACAGTTATTTCGGGCCCTAGGCAAAGTAATAGTAGAAAAGCTGCACCCTTTATTTTTACTTATCCTTTACTTCAGTGCACATCTAGAAAAGAATATGAGAGCATAGGACTAGAGGGATTGAAAACTCCCATTTTGGTCTTGAAATTCTCCTTGGCAAAATCAGAGACTTCAGCAAAATTTCATTAAAAAATTCCAGAAGTGAAAATGTCATCGGCCTGTGAAAATATGCCACAGTGAAACTTGTTCCTGTTATACCCCTTCAAAACTGGTAGAAACGGCAAGGTTTTTATCCAATAAGTCTCACAAGGCTGATGATATTTTTTAAACTTTCGCTGGGGACATGCAAGGTAGGCTGCCCTGGATGGCAAAGTAGTGGACCAGTACTACCTGCAGCTTCAGTGAATTTGCTGTGTAAGCAAGTGTTTAAAAATAAGGAAATCTATCACATGTGTGAATGTGGTGTGTATTCTGAAGATAATGTTAATGTTATTATCCTATTTGTTTTCTGATTTCCTAATAAGATCTCAAGCCACAGATTAGAAAGTGAATGTTATATTAGACTTGTACAGTGATTGTAGGGCATATTAATCTTTACTATATTCCAAAACTAAAACCATCATTTTTGTTTGGACTTACATCTTGAGTCAAGGTTTCAAGAGATTTTCCCCTGCTGATTCGCTGGCTGTTAGAACCATGTCTTAGTGACCTGAAACAATCATAATCAATTTGATAGTAAATCTCAAGATCAAATCTTGACCTTTATATGATGGCCATTATAAAGCACTGCTCTCCAGATACAGTATCTCAAATTCTTATCATTTTTCCTTAGCTTACATGAGAAGCTTTTATGTTCTTCAATTGTCTTTAAGCCTATCTAACATAAACCAATTTCTTTTCCTTCTGATCTTTAAATTGATAGTTCTGCAGTCAGTGAAGGAAATGACATTTGAAATAAAAAGGCCGTTTCCCCATTTATGTACCTCAATGAATTTCATTATTGTTACGATCAAAAATGTACAATTTAGTTCTTTGCGTGAGTCATTCTTGTTGTAGATGAGTTAGGTATTGTGCAAGTTTAACTATTCATTGAATTTATTTTAAGATTATTTTTAAAACACTTTTCCTGTCTGTGTTTACCTGCGCTCTTGCCGTATATGATGCTGGACACTAAGTATTGACCTTTCCTTTGCAGGTTGCCCCTCAAAGGATCCACTCAGCATGCGTTGTCTAGTGCAGGCCCTAAAAAGAAATATTGTGATTATGATAAACAATTGGAACTTCCACTGTAAGCAATTTTTTATAAAGTGAGACCAAATAATTGCATTGCTGGAACAAACAGACATGCTGTTATTACTTTTGGCATGACACAACTGGCACATATAGTTTTGAGGGAATGCAAGGGCACAGCTTCATAGAAAACAATATATAAGACAACAGAACAATAATAAGGGCAACTCGTACTTCTCAGTAAAAAGATGTTCATATTCTTAAAGCCAAATGAGATGCAAAGGTTCCTCATCCTCTCGTATATAATCAATGACAGGGCCTTCTTTATGACCTCTCCTTGCTGGAACACTGTGCTCCATTTGTGGATCCCCTTTTTAGGATTTACTATAGCAAATGTGCTTCCCCCAGAGTCCATTCACATGTATGAATTGGGCCAATGACAAATCTATCACCCCAGTCCACTGGAAATAATCCAACTTTATTCTGTGAATGTTACTCATGCCATAACCTCCCATTAATCAATTATTAATTATTATTATTAATCATTATTATTATTATTATGGAAACTTTCAGCTACATGCTGGCTCTTCACAGGGCAATCACTTTGAAACCAAAAAGAATGGATTTATTTTTCATGTCTTTTAGACTGTAAGATCTTTGGGGCAAAGACTGCAATTTTCTATATGTTTGCACGGTGCTTAGCACAATGGGAACCCAATCTGATTGGCTTCTAGGTACAACTAGTATACAATGGTGTAATAATAATACTAATGCTTATAAACAATATTATTATTCCTGTCTCTAATCTTCAGAATAACAGTGAGGCCTGCAAGGCCTAGATAGGAGTGCTTGTGTTGCCTGCAGCCAGTGGAGTTGGGGAGCTGACCCATGACTGGCACGGACAAGGCTTCCCAATCCTAAGGGCAGGTGGTAGCGAGTTGCCTCACAATGTTGGGTACCCCTGGAAAGCGTCACAGAGCACTCCAACCTAATAGGAATGTGGGCATTTTTTTTGTACTGGCTGTAAATAAACATTTTTGGTCAAGAAAAAATAAAAGTTAGATTTAAAGAGAAGAGATGAATGCCTGATGTTGAAAGAAAGGATATTTATGCCAGAGGAATATTTGAAGAGGTCACATTGGTGAAAAAATCTTCACTTGCCAAGAACACTGCAACCCTGGATTAACACCCATGGATAATGATTGATTTTATTTTTGCGTTACATCTTCTTCGTTGATATGAGTCACAAGATGATATCGAGATTGTTCAACCATCTAACTGTTGCATCACCGGGTGTGGCAAGGTGTGGTAGTCCACCCTCTAATCTTCTAATTGTGCACTCCTCCACCACATGTTTGACTGTCTGCATCACTGCCCCACAGTCACACTGTCAAGATTGGCTAAGACAAAGTGTGGCACTGTGGCAGCCAGTCTGGCTGTTCCAGTCAGTAGTCTGTTAAACTCAATCCAGGATCTATGTGCAAGGCTGCCACCAGGTGGATGTAAGTTAGGACTTCTGAAATTCATCAGTGAAACAGATATAAACCAAATATAAATATTTCATACAAGCAAGTTGAGTCTTGAAGGTGCAATTTCTCTATTTTCAGTCGCTCTTGCCTCATATCTGATAACATATATGAGTATTATGAATGTGAGCCCTTTGTATACATCACACTATTCACTAACACTTTGCGCCTTTGAATACATGTTTACTCCCATTGTTTTAAATAACGTTGCACAATTACATATGGCAGGATGCCATCTCATGAAGGCAATTATTGCTTTATAGGGGATAACTTTTTTCTTTCCAATATTTCTGTGGATATCTGTTTTTACTCTTCTCTGTTGTTTTCCTTCTCTTGGTTTTAAGCAGATGGATGAAAGGAATGTGGATCCACTGAGAGATCTGTAATGCAAATTAAGCTTATAACGTCTGCCTATGTTTTCGTCACCCATTACACCAGAATCTCACTATTATACACCTATTATACACTTATTACAAGAACACATTAGATTACATTATACTGAATAGTCAGAAATATAATCGCATTTAAGAAAATTGCAGTATGTCTTGCAGTGCAATACAGTTTACAGTATCTCAGCCAATATCTGAATAAAATGAATTTTAAAGCATTATGTGATATAGGATAATGTAATGTAATCATTTCAAGAGACGACAAAAATATTCTTTGAATAACTGTAATTTCTGTGTAAAAGAATAATCATTATTTTTGAGAAATGGATCCTATCTGACTCCATTAGAATGACACTAAGGTCTCTCAAAGCAGAGACAATAGTAGGTTTTGATGTGCAAGTTCTCTCCTATAACGGCTTCTCACTGAGATAATGGAACAGCTTGTATTTGTATCTTTGTGAATATGAATTACTGTGCTCTTAGGCACATGCATGTGTATTTTATTATCCAGAAATAATTGTTTCCTTACATCCACGTGTGACTTCCACATAAATGTTTTCACATGCTTGTACACAACTCATTGAGATATCCAGTTGCTTTGTGAGTGGAGAACACAATCCCTTGCTGTACGTAAGAAAAGAGAACACTGCTTGCAACCAAAATAGTAAATTCTTCCTGTGACTACATTCTTATGCCATATTATTAAGTGAATAATGAAGCCAATTAAATAAATACTATAAAGGAACAGATCTGGATAAAGGAGCAGACCCGTTGAAAGATTATCAAGATTTTTAAAAAGTAAATGCCTACAGTTTGGTTCCTAAGTCCACATTTAGGTGTCTACATAAGTTGTCTGATTTTCAAAAATGCTGACAGTCCAGCAGTCCCTGTTGAAATCAATGGAGAAATGATGCAATGCCAGCGCTATAGGACTGAGATCAAGTGACTTGAAATAGATAATGCAAATTGTCAGCAGCAATGTGCAGGGAAGCCTTTCCACACTCACAGCACCACAGATGATGTGACAGAGAGGAGAGTTTTACAAGCTCCTTAGCTTGTTTACTAAACATCTCCTTACTTTTCTCTTCTGCCATCCTCTACTCCTCTACTTTTGCCTTTATGAATCCTTAGCAAGTGCCAAAATGTGCCTGACCATTCTCCCAATTGCTAAGGGCCAGATTTTGTAAAGATATTTTAGGCACCTTAAATGGCAAATAGGCACCTTGTGGGATTGTCCAAAAGCACCTAGTTGCTGAACTCCCATTGATTTCAATGGGTGTGAGATGACTAGGTACTGATGAACTGTCGAGGAACTGCCTGGTCTCTGATTCTGTAGGTCCTTTCTATAGGGCCCTCCTGGGCCCTGACTGGCTGCTTCCCCTGCAGCCACTCTAGCCTGCTTGGAGGACCTCTCCACTGCTCCTTTCTTGGGATGGGTGTGGCAGGACCCTGAGGTCTCCAGCAGGGAGCCTCTGGGCCTAATCCACCCCATCACACTAGCTCTGTTAGATAATAGAGAGAGTGCATGTTCATGTAATATGTAATGAGAGAGATAGGAAACACTGCAGAAAGACAAGTAGAAACATGTCAAGCTGGTTGCAATGTTTACTCGCTATGCAAAGCTCTGGATGCAGTTTATCCCTTCCTTCTCAGCAAATGCAGCTGCAGCAATGTCCTTCATGTTGATCTCTATATGCACAAAGGAAATAAAGTATGTTTAATAAGAACAAATTACTAGTCAAGTTAGAGGAAGAAATTACACTGAGCTTGATTGCAAGACAAGATCCTACAGGGAATATTATATACCATACATTACCAGGGAAAAACTGATGGGGTCCAAAGTGATGAATGAAAGGGGCAACAGCCCTACACATTATTTTCTTCCCATTTTAAAATCCCTGAAAAATAAGCAAAACAGACAGTAATTCAGCTAAATACTCCATGCCACTTCAAGATGCTGAACAGTTTGCATGTATTTTATAATACTGTACCTTCCACTAACAGTATGAGGCCGCTTGCTTTGCGGAAGGTGGTGCTCTGTGTGATGACTTTATTGGGAGGTCTGCTTATGTTGCTGTATCACTGCAATTTGAGGCTTGTTTCATAAATGAACATCATTTAGTTGAACTGCGCCAGAGACCCTATCCACATTTTTACCTGCTGCATACAATTCTCCTGGTGAGTCCTTTGGACAGAATCTTTAACAGAACATGGCAATGCTCCACCAGTAAACTCAATACACAAAATACTATCATACTCATTCATTACTGATGATGATGATAGGTTCTCTCACTGAATCTTTCCATTGTGGCATCCATGCTTCCAATAAACTTTTGTCATGTTCCAGAAGAGCACGCACCAGATGGATCCCAGCATCCACTTCTGTCATCTTATAGATTGCATTCACTATGGCACTGTTTGGACAGCAGGCCAAATGCACTTTGTTAACACAATCAAACAACACTAACTTTCAGATATTCAATTTAACTGTATTGTTGAAACAATTTGAAGCTGACTGGCCAAGCAAAATGGATTATTAATGCAACTTGGATATAACATAAAGCTTTTCTTCCTGGGTCCCTCTTATATGATCAGATGTTTCTAAAAAGAAAAGACAGTAAACAGTAAACTCGTCTTCTTCAGTGTCTATGCAATCTAGCCATCTAAAATGGCATATTTACATGCTCACCTCTTTAGCTATCTTGCATTCTGGTCTTCATTCTTGCCCTGTTGTCTAACCATTCTCTCTTAGCTGATGTGTGTCTGGGTATTTCCTTGGATTAAGGATGAGCCAGTCACAGAGCTTGCTTCATGATGATCCATTAAAAGTATGGAGCTCCCTTAGCACAACAAGTATAAAAAGGGGCAACATTTTCCAATGAGCAGATGCTAAGCAGCTCCTGAAATTCTTCATGTTTGACTTTGCTGGAGACTAGGTAGAATCCAGTGTCAGCCTTGGTTTCTAATGCTCTAAGAAGCTGATCATGACCAGACATACCTGAGATTAGTCATATCAGTTGTTTAAAAAAATTACAGGTATCCAATTCTAAAATTTAACAAAAAAGGAATCACAGATTTAAAGGAGAAACCCTGATTGACTTAGGGTTGAACTTGTCTTAAGTGACCACTCAAGGGTGGTCCAACACAAATTGGACCAACACAAATTGGTTGTTTAATGTGGAGGCTTTTTAATAAAGAAACAAACAAACTACTTACTATGTCTGAGGATACTCTGGGTTTGTGTCTTAAGACAGGAAGTTGCCTAATCAGGGTGGCCCATTATAACAACCTATTGAGATAGTTTAATCAGAGACTAGGTAAATATAAAGTAATGTCATAACCCTTTTATAAAGAGTTAAGAACTTGTTTTTCATTCATTCTGATATGCATAAGAGATCACTGTGTTTTGAAGAATGCTTTTATAAGAGCAGTTAAATAATCTACCAGAATACCAGCAAACTAGTAAAACTGAATTTTTAATTCAAGCACTACAACATATTTTAATGACACACTCAAGACATAGTTTGAGACATAAGATAAATGTTCCTTATTCATTCAGCTGTTTATTCCAACGGAAAGCTTCACTTATGCATGAGATAGGCTATTCCCTCAGGCTCAGGAAATGTCAGAAAAGCTTTGTCTGGAATAGTGAATACATTGTTGTTTATACTTAGCACTAGTTTACAATTTAGCTCTAAAATTAATTATAATGTAATGCATATCAAAAGCTACTCAACCTAATGTGGCTTATTTCCAAAACTGTCACAATTCATTACTTAATGATGACCTTTGAAGAAGTTGATTTTTTTGTCCAACAGTCCCTGAAACTTAGATGTTGCACTATGTAGATGATATGATATGCTGATGGGAAAATGACTCAGAATAGGCTCTACAGTAAACAGCCTCAGAGTTGGTCAGCTAACCTGTATCTGAACCAGACCCATGTTCTGCATTATTGACATAGGTAATCCGAATATTTTTGTTTTATTCATACAGCATCCAAAAATGTGCTAAGGCACTTTATAGGACCCATAAAAAGATGTGACATGGCCTGTGCCTCGTGAAGCTTGCAAACTATTATGTGATGAAATATGCATGTGTAGCAATAGGGGGTGATGAGGTGAGAAAGATAAGGCTCACTCACAGTGGTAAGATAGCGTGGTTATATGTGTATATCTGGATGGTTCCAGTATATTCACGCAAACGATTGTAGGGAGAAGATGATGGTGGCTGATAGAGTATTCCATTCTCAGTGTGTAGCATGTAATAGAGAGAGGAGTGGGGGAAGAAAACAAATGTGAGGAGAGTGGGGTCAAGGCTGGTGGTGCAGAGGGAGTGGGAGAAGCTCAACGGGAATGACTGGTAATTATTATATAAAACATAAAGGTGATGAATGATTCTGGGAATCAGATAGATATTTAGCTGGCATCCATGATGCTGGGTCTGGTGGCAGACAGGCAATTTTCTTCATCCTTACAAAAGCTATTTTTCTAGACTTTGATGATTCCAGATGATAATTAATCCATAATTGATGCTTGATGTCATCTTCAATTCCATTTCATTTGGTCCCAAGTTCTGCCCTTAGAAGGGTATGTAGGGCTCCCATTGCCACCAATGGGAGCATTAAGTGATCAATCAAGAGATGCACAAAGATGGAATTCATCCCATTGTGTACAATTTGCACTCTTTCTTGTTTATGTTAAAATATTTAGAATTTGATAAAAAATATTCTTCAATAAGGGTGGGTAAAAAGAACAAAAAAGGCAGCACAAAGCATAAAGCAGCAAGAACAGAATTAAAAGTCTTTTTGTTAAAATAATTTGAGCAAACTGAAGTTGTTCCAGAGCATCTTTAATTTAGAGAAGCACTTATACCCACCTTCATCCATACAAACAATGATGAAAAGCCTTTTGGTGGGACTCTTTAGAGAAGGGTAAACTTGAACTATTACTCAGTGTTTTAGGTACAAACATCACTTCTTTCACTGTCAGGTCTGTAATCTAGCTGAAATTCAAATGTCTCAGCTACTTTTATTAATGATAAAAACATAGTAGTAGTGATCAGTACAAAGAAAAAACATAATCTTCATGCAAGTTTGAGTTTCTCTGCTTCCTGTGAACAGTATGCTCAGGTTTAGCTGTGATATTTTATCACATTTCACACCCATCTTTTTTTTATTTTTTGCAAGATCCTTCTTCGAGGCTCCACTGTCATAAAAAAACTCATATTTAGTGACTTTCTGCACCAGGAAATCCACCCCTTATGTTGTGAAAATGCTTTCTTATGTTCGCATGTTAATGCCGAAGCTGTGACACCTAGGGCGGGCCCAGGCACTATAGTAAAGAAATGGCATCATCGGAACCCGCAGAGTAGGGAAACAGCTTGAGGCAGTTACTCATTGCCAAGAAAGCTACCTGTTCCTCTTGCTCAGAAGGAGGCTGCTTCTTTGTTAATGAATAAGCTACACTCTTGCGACTATTACTCCTCGAAGGCCCTATGCATCCTATGTTTGTGTGTAAAAGGCGGATGGGCCAGCAAACATTTTGCCCCCGTGGCAGGATCCCCTTACCATCTAAACTTCCCCACAAGGGCTCCAAGGAAGTTTGACTCTGCAAATCTGGGTGGGTAAGCACCTGGTGGTGAATATAAATTAGGACTGCTTCTTCCTCTGTCCTGTGAAACTGTCCCTGAGGGGGGATTCCAGGTTCAAATGTTCAAATATGCCTGTGGAAGCATAGATTCTGCAGATGCCATGCTCTGAAGGGACAAGTGAGAGCAGGCTACTAGCAAAGCAGAAACAAGGGGAATCTGTGTGGCTGTCCCTTGCAGTGAGAGCCAGATAAATTACCAGGAATCCACAGGTTCTGAAAGCAGAACTGCTGACTTCTTCTGAAGGAAGGAAACCTCACTATTATGATGGAAGAATTCATAGGAAACTCTGTGTGTTTCAATTGTACAGTTTCCTTTGTTCTACATGAGTTATTCTTGAATCTGGAAGAATGGAGCCTTAAAAAGATAAAAGCAGCCCATGAGTGGATTTCCTATGGGATACTGTCTGAGCTGAACTTTGAGCTGACTGACGCTTTGTGTAACCCCACTGGAGTCAGTGGAATTTCATGATTATAAATCAGCAACCTGTGTGTTTTCGTCAAATGCTGCTGAGAAGCCAATACATAAAAATGTATTGTAAAGCTTGACTAGTACGCGGGAACTGTGCTTATTTCTCCATGGGGCAACTTCTATAAAACCAAGAGACACTTACGTAATTGAAATGCTTATTAAAAGAATCCTAAGTTTCATTTGCAATGAATACTTTTGGCCTTGCAGTCACATCTTGACAAAGCATATCCAGTTGAATTGCTAATTGGTCACATTTACCATAGTTTTTAAAGAACGCTAAAGTTGTGTTAATCTCTACAGCACTTACTGTTACTTATTCTTTAGGAATATTAAAAAGAACAACAAAAGGTGGCTGCAATAATTTTTCTCAAATTGCATGTAATTCTGAGGCACTTTTCAACAATATTCACAGTTCGGGACTTGCACTGAACTCCTGTAATTTCATCCTGGAGTGCTCTTCATAAAGCATTGCAATATTTATTCTCATTTCACAACTGTATTTTTCTAATCAGTTATTCCTGATTTGTACTGCTATTTCCCTATTAGTGGTAGTTTATAATATATATTGTAAGTGTGCAAGCTTTGATGACACACAACTGTAGGTAGCAACAAATTAATGCTCTAAAAATTGTTGGCACAGATTTTACATATAATTTGAATGTTAATAATTCTAATTTAAACAATGTAAAACAAAAACTGGCATGAAAAGCTGTAGCAAGGTGAGAACTCAGGGGATAATTTTATGACATGATTCTTGCTCCTCTGAGACACATAGGGCCATGACTGTGTATCCCTTCTTCATGTTGCTGAGCATGTATTGGGACTACTTTTGCACGTGATCACCATTGTAAGGTGTCCACAATCAGTCCCACAGAGTTAATAATCTACAGGTCTTCTTTCTGTGCTATCTTGCATAGCTTACTTATGTGTTTGGTAGGAGTACTCCACTTGGGTTCCTGTACAAAGATTGTGCTGGAATTCCCAGGCACGAATGCAAAATAGAAGTGCTTTTGAAGAGTGATATCTTGGTTAATTCTAAGGGAAAAGGTGGAAAAAGCCAAGATTTAACTCTATATTATAAAACACTATCCATCTTTTGCCACTGTATCCATGAATAATATACCTTAAGAGCATGTTATCATCGGTTATTATCATTTACACAAAGAGGTAAAAACAAGTTGTGTTTTTTTTAATGCAAAGAGATACCCTGGCACAAATATTAAGCACACACTGTAAACTGACTTAATACTTTAGCACTCATGCAGAAGAAACAGATTAGAAATAATTCATTACTCATTAATGAGACCCATTTGTCATCCAAAAGATAGAAAGCATCAAATCAAATTACCCCTGTTTGTTACCTAAGGATTTTATTGATTGCTGTCTCCTTTTCCAGAAGATTTCTTGCCCTGATGCTGAAAACAGATTTACGGAGCTATAAAATAAAACAAGACAGTGCAATTTTAGTTGCTATATGGACAGTAATGGTTAAGTGCATTGACAGATCGACTGGTCAACACATTATGTGATATACACTTCCGCATAAAACACATGTTCATAGAGAAGCATAAATTACAACATAGTGGCTTCCATCATAAAATCAACATTTTCCCCGCTGCTCTATCACTGATCTCCTGTTGACATCTCCAGGTGAGAAGAGGTGGAAAATGATCAAAGTGGCCTTTTCCACAAAGTGCAGACTGATTCACTGCTATCTCCAGTGATGCCTGAGGTGCTAGCCTCTTTCTGCCATTGCCTGCCCTCCCCACATCTGTGCTGCTTGTGGAAGAGGAGAGAGGGTGAGCATTAATATCTGATCTTCCCTCCAGCACTGTTGCATTGGTTACCTTGCATGCCCTACATCAGAGGTGGGCAAACTATGGCCCGCGGGCCACATCCGGCCCGTGGGACCGTCCTGCCCGGCCCATGAGCTCCTGGCTTGGGAGGCTACCCCTCGGCCCCTCCCCTGCTGTTCCCCCATTCCCACAGCCTCATCTCATTGCGCAGCTGGCGCAATGCTTTGGGCGGTGGGATGGTGAGCTCCTGGAGCAGCGCAGCTGCAGAGCCGGGCCTGACCTGGTGCTCTGAGATGTGTGGCGGTATGGCCCAGCTCCAGCTGGGTGGCGCGGCTGTAGCGTCACCAGCCACCGGGTGCTCCAGGCAGTGTGATAAGGGGGCTGGGAGCAGGGGGGGTTGGATAGAGGGCAGGGGAGTTTGGGGTGGTGGTAAGGGGGCAGGGGTGTGGATAGGGGTTGGGGCGGTTGGGGGAGGAATAGGGGGTTGAATGGGGGCAGGAGTCCTGAGGGGGCAGTCAGGAAGGAGGGGGCGTTGGATGGAGCGGCAGGGGGCAGTCAGGGGCAGGGGTTCCAGGGGCAGTCAGGGGACAGGGAGAACGGGTGGTTGGATGGGGCAGAGGTCTCGTGGGGGGGCAGTCAGGAAGGAAGGGGGGTTGGATGGGGCGGCAGGGGGCAGGGGTTCCTGGGGCAGTCAGGGGACAGGGAGAAGAGGTGGCTGGATAGGACAAGGGTTCCGGGGGGCTGTCAGGAATGAGAGGAGGGTTGAATGGGGCGGCAATGGGGAGTCCGGGGGCGGTCAGGGGACAGGGAGCGTGTGTGTGTGTCCCAGGGAGGCTGTCAGGGAACAGGGGGCATTGGATGGGGCAGGAGTCCCGGCGGGGGAGGAGGGGGCAGATAGGAGGTGGGGGCCGGGCCATGACCCCCTCCCCTAACCGGCCCTCCATACAATTTCCGAAAACCGATGCGGCCCTCCGGCCAAAAAGTTTGCCTGCCCCTGACCTAGGGCACTGTTCCAAGAAGTTTCAATATACATGCAAAATATGTCTATTCAAATGTACAGAAACTCGAGAAGCTTGACCTTTCCCTGACTTTCGACATTTCCATGACTCTTCTATGAACTAAAATACATAAATTGACTGATTTTAAGGCCAAACAGGACCATTATGATCATCTAATGATTAAATGATAAAATATAGGGCCTATATGCTTCCACCACAGCTCCATTCAGTTCTCCTCCATTCTGTGCTGGTACTGGGCGAAGACATGGAGAGAGTATAAACACCTGATCTGCTTATCACTGCCATTCAATTCCCACAGAACTGCTTCCCAGAATGGAGGTAAGAACATAAACACTTTCTGAGCTGCTGCCTTATCTGCCTGGCCCCCTGCCCTGGTCATCTGTCTCTACATCCTGGGCTCTACTGCTGTTTCCGGTGAGGAGAAGGAAGCAGAATAAAGTCCAGCTTTCCTCAGTGGCTCAGGCAGCCAGGACTATCCTTTCCAAGTCTCCTTTTCCCTGCTGTGCTAGTTTTCAGGGAGAGAGGTAAATGCTACGCATATCTTGTGAGATAAGCCTTCCTGGAGGTTAGGATAAAGGCACAGACATACCACAAGAAAGACATTGCCAAGCCCAAGCACTGAACTGTTGGGATTCCCCCTCAGACCTCTTTCCACTCAGCTTCGAAGAACTCAGTTTGACTCCAGACTTCGTCACTCATGTATATTTATTGCATACAGCAATGTCACACTGAGCTGACTAGATTCGAACACAGAGCACATCACAGGTTCAAAGTTACACAGAAATCCTCTTTATATACATTTACACATCTCACTGCATTTACTATACATTGAATCACACATTTTGGGACTGGCTTGGTTACTTTGTAGGAACCAATCCCCGTACAGCATGCTCTGTTCATGCACTGTCCATGTTCAAAATACTCTTTACCTCATTTTTAAATTCCCAACGTATTTTGTCCATTGATATCTTGTTCTTTGTAAACAGTTCCCTTGGTATTTCTGCCACGTATCTTAGATAGTTCCGATATTCTGTTTCAGCTCATTGACCCCTTTACCTCTCTTAGTTAACACAAACATTCCGTTTTCAGCCTGCTGATCTATTTACCTCCATAATCCTGTCACTCAAGTCAAGCCAGGCCTACATTCCACCATCTTTATTTTTCTTTTTAATATTAGCATTCATTTCATTCGTATCATAGTCCTGCCTTTTTGTGCTCTCTTTTTAAAGTTTACCAGGCAAGAACACATTTCCAAGACCACAGTAGCTGTAATCATTTCAACCACTATTAATATTAGGCTCAAAGTACTAACCAGGGGGGTGCAAGCTCACCTCCTCTGGTACAGCCCACCAAGGTATTTCCACTGCAGGTACAGTATTGCCCCAGTTTCCTGTTGCTTGGCTATTATTTGGGCAATGGACACCAATGGCTCTATTTTCCCTTGTACTAGATAAGTGGTGTTAATGGACAAGGGAAGTCTAGGTGAAAAGCGATTGATCACAAGTGACTCCCATTTGGTGTTGTCTGTTACAGCCTCTGTCACATTCTCCTTAATCTGCACACTTGGCCATATGGCATGGGTTCCACCCTGAGTCAGAGAGGTGAAGTTCAGACAAAATCCATCCAGGCTCCCCTGTCATGGCGTCGTCCCCGTCGAGAAGCCGTGATAACCGAGAGCACATACTGTGTCTCCAGGCTGTATCACTTCCTTCACTCTCTCTTTAATAGTATAAGAGGGGTAGACGTGTTAGTCTGAATCTGTAAAAAGCAACAGAGAGTCCTGTGGCACCTTTAAGACTAACAGATGTATT